ATATGCTAAGTCTGGAGGTATTAGAATATTTCGAGTTTGTATACCTAGAAAACATTTTACTTTTAGTTTTCAAAGGTATGTTTGCTAAGTATAAAATTCAATAAAGACAGGTAGTTTTTTTTCAGACCTTTGAATAAATAATTACAGTTTCTTACCCATTTGCTCTTTTTTTTCTAATGTGGAATAAGATAATATTTAATTTTGTTCTTCCATAGCTAATATTTTTTCTATGTGTATGCATTAATAATTTTTTTCTTTCTTTTTTTTTAGTGATTTTTTTCTTTACAATCAGTTTTGGACAATTTCATTTTTTGTGTGTCTTAGTATGTCTTTATTCATATTTCTTGTGCAAAAGTTCATTTTTCTTAGAAATGTGGTGCTATAATTTTAACTAAATTCAGAAATTTTAAATCTTTAAATATTTATTGCCTACCCTATTCTACTTTGAGAATTCTCATTAGATGAATATAAGTTTCTTGATTTTGGCACAGAGTTAACTATTAAATGACTGATCTGTAAATTCTTCTTTGTGTTTATTTTAGACAATTTTATTATATTCATTTAAGTTTGTAAATAATTTTTTACAATGTGCAATCTATTATTAATCTCATGTTATGTATTCATTTCAGAAATATTTTTCTATAATTCTGTCTACTCATATCTTTCACATTTCACTATTTGTCTACAATTTTTAACTTGTTATATAATTATTATAGAATTTCAATAAAATCAATAATGAGTTAAAAATAAATAAAAAAGTTAAAAGTGGTTGAACTGACTTCTAATTACCATAGGATATTGCAACATATCGTAAGAGCCAAATCCCTCAGGCCACTCTAATTAAGTCCAAATCCTAGCCCGGCCACGTACTGGCTCTGCTATGTGAGGCAAGCCCTTGATATTTCTATGTCTTGCTTCCCCCATCTGTAAAATGGAAATGAAATTAATCTCTATCTCATAGGATTGAATCCATTAATATGTATAAAATGATCACATATAGTGAAAAATAAATCAATGAAAGCTGTTATGAATCTTTTTATGTTATTATTACACACTTAACAGAAATCACCTATGCAGAGAAAATTACTCTTGCCGCATGAGGATATATGTTGTACATAATTTTGGTACCGGTGAGATGTTGGATTCTAATGACATCTTGGAATTGCTTCCCAGAAAGAAGCTCAGAGAGGTAGGAACCAGGAAGCACCCAGGACATCTCTAAGGACCTTTAATCAGTAGCAGTGAGCTCCGCTGTTGTTCAGAACAACAATCAGAGGAAAATAGTATTTAGCAAGAATAATATAAGGAAATCAATGACTGGTAAACAGGGATTGAAAAAAAATTATCACAGAAAGCATCTATTTTTCTCAACAAAGTTATACCCAAATTTGCTGTGTGTGTGTGTGTGTGTGTGTGTGTGTGTGTGTGTGTGTTTTGCCTTAACACATTTCAGCATAAGTTGTCATCTCACCTATTAAAGTTTATAAGGGAGGTATCAAATTGAAAGTTAAGCCTAATGCATGCAAATTACTTCTAGGGAGTTAGTTATTCTGAAATTTTTTGTTCTTCCTTTGTTCTTTCACTTACGTATCCATGTACCCACACACCTGTATTATTTTATGTTTTGGACATCAGACTGGATGCAGAAAGGTAGAAGGAATTAGACACGTTCCCTACCATATGCAATTCAAGGTACAGCATTTAATATTTTGTCTAAATCTCCTATTGGATTGAAACTGATGAAATATTGTAATCTTATTTTCTGTAAATGTTGAGAAACAGCACAAACAATAAGTTTTCATTTGGTTAACAATTAAGAGAATTACTTTTTAAATGTCTTCTCATTCTCTATTTGCCTGGTATGATTTTTCTATTAGGGTTCCGGTAGGCAAGTAGGAACCTTCTTTTTAGGGTCAGAAGACTCTGGCTTTTGATCCTGGCTGTGACTTCTTACAATTTGAGAAACTTGTCTGAACTTCAGCTTTCTCCCTTGTAAAATGGTGATAACAACTACTGCCCAGATGTAGGAAGCACAGATGGGCACGTGAAGGACTCCAACACGTACATCTGGGCTGGGAATTTCCATGGAGGTGGTGTCATGTAATTGGTGCCACAGCATGTAGGACTTCCTTATTGGTGACATTTTGTTAATCAGGAACCAGAAGTTCAAACAGGAAAAACAGCACAGTTGCAGATCCGAGGACAGAGACGTCCTTGCCCACTGGACTCCAAGGCTACTGTCCTGTTTGTGACCAGATACAGAGCATGAGAGACGTCAGTAGGCTACTGCTCAAATGTTGCTCATATTGTTTGTGTACCATCAGCGGGTCAGTTTCCTGCCATTGCTCAAGACATTTCGGAAACATCTTTATTAATGTTTGGGGCTAGAAATGTGTAGACAACTTTCTTGTAAAAAGCAACTGGGACAACTTTTCCTTCCTCCACCAGTAAAAATGGGCCTTACTTAAACAGAATTACAAAGAATAAATAAGATAATAAATACGAAATGATTCACATTTAGAAAATAGATAACAAAAGATATCTGTTTTTACAATAATTACAAGTAAATCACTATCCACCATGGAGCTAGATATTAATCTGATTGTAATTTCTTATAATTTTAGTTTTCAGGTACTTATTGATGTCTCTGCCATTCTCCTTCTTGTAGCTACTAAATATTATTCAATATATTCCAGACAATTAGCAAAGAGAAGTACAATCAAGAAGAGGATGTTTCAAATTTGCCTTTAAAACTCACTGATAAGCAGGTGTAGTAGTTTCCACCTGTAGCATCAGCACTCTGCAGACTGAGGCAGGATTCTGAGCTCAAAGCTAGCCTGAACTACATGGCAAAAACTTGTTGCAAAACAAAATAAAGCAAAACAAAATAAAAGATATCTCAATGATATGAATGCAATCTACTGACTATAGAGAGAAACCTACAGTATGACTAGCTCAGTGGAAATTTTACTCAAATTTTGAATTAAAGAGATGTTTTGTTGCTCTCAAAAATTATTTAAAAAAAGAAGAAAGAAAGAAAAACCAAGACTGGCTGGTTAGTTAATCTCAAGTTTTGACTTCCCTGCCAGGTTTAAATTCCAGCTCTTCTCCTTAACATGTGATGTAGGGCTAATTGCTTTCTTCATCTATAAAGTAGAATTAATTAATATATGTGTCACATAATGGACACTATAAATTTATTGAAAATTAAGAAATGGGTAATATTCAACTGATAAATTAGTAAGTAGTTTATTAACTAGTAACTAGTGTTTTAGAACATATTTGGGGTAGTCCCACATACGTTGCTACCTAAAACCAACATGTACCAGAGAAGAAGGTCACAGAACACAAGGAGAGCATGATCCACAGTAGTACAAGTGAGATGAAGAAGTTTCAACACAGCTTCCACACTGTGCTTCTTATAAATAGAGAAATAGGAACAGTGAGGTTACTGTAGAATGCGTTTGAGAGTGTCAGTGAGACTTAGGATGCCTCGTATTTATTGGCACTTGCTTTTCCTCAGTCCTTCTACTAGCCTAGAAGTTTGACCTCCCATCTCACACACATCAAAGATTCTACAGTAGTGTTTCCTGACCTTGGCTTCAAGAAACTGGGTCATTCAGTGTCACCCATTGCCTCCTTTAGGATCCTGTGCTTATGCTGTCCAGAGCACCCCTCACCTGCCCACTCCTATAATTTATTTTTCTTAAGCTGAAAAAATTTCCATAAGTACACAGTAGTCATTAGAAAAGTGTTTTTCCTGCCTATCATTATTAATCTTAGTATTTCAAAAAGAATAGATTTATGAGCAGTTGGAGGTCTTCTTTTTGCAAATCATGATTTCCATAAACTTGGGGTATAGATTCTCAAATACAGTGTGTTTTAATAAAGAATCAAACACTGATGCTGGATATTTGCTCATTCCTCTGTTTAGTAAATGTTTATGCAGTACTGATTCTGTGGGAAGCCCTGAAGATCCTACACCTCAGCGACCATCTGACAGGTACCACACACTCTCGCAGTACCAACAGGAGGGTACTGTGTGATGTGGAAGTCCACAGATGTTCCTTAATTTAGTGGCCAAATTTGTTTCCAGGTCTCATCTCTGAAACTCCCTGGCTGGTGTTTCTGCCACCAAAGAGGCAGCAGGCAACAGTAAGACAGGACTTTAAGGAGTTGAAGACTCGGGCACTAGAGCTGTGCTCCTGGCATCTGACTGCTCTGTAGGCTTGGGTGTTAGTGATACCTGTTCTACTGAATTCACAGGGCTGTTTAGTGCTTCAGTGAAAGAAAATGAGTTAAACCATTTAGAAAACAGTATAAATGATATAAATGTAAACAGTGGTGACATATGGTTGCTCAAAATCACTATTATTATGCATGAGGTTATACCAAGAAATGTATTTTTTCCTCTATACATGAGAAAACTCATTTTAGGGAAAAATCCAAACAATTTATGTTCCCTCTTTCTTCAATATTTAACAGGAAAATTGGAAACAAGTTTTCTCAATTTTGACCTCCTGTGTCCTCATCCTCTCTGCAGGCAGCAGGGGTCTTCTACGTGGAGACAAGTATTTCTGCAGGTATTGACCTGATCCACATTAGTGCACAAGGCCTGCCCACGATGCAGTAGGAAAATAGCTAAAGGGGAGGGGAGAGAGAATGCAAATTTGACAAAGGGATGCTTGTTCTAGTACAAATGATAACTTTCTTGTCTCAGAATCAATCAGGATACCAGACAATGCAAGTTTTCATTACCTTCTAAAATCCCAACTACTAACTATTGAACATGGCAACATGAATAAAGCTTGTAAGAAATTTTTTTATATAAAACAAACTGATTTCAAACACAGAGGTTAATTAATCCAGACTGCAATAAAAGCTCCAGAACTGTCACAAGCTGACTGAATCCACTGAGGACACTACATCAACAGTCTGCCACGAAGCACCTACCACTGACAGTGAGCAAACAAGACATTGACAAATGAGAATTAACTTACCGATACATCATCGATAAGAGGAATATGATCCTGAAGGTCTGCACCCACTGAACTCAACCTTCCAGTCAACCTTATGACATCTCTAGCTGTCGTAGAGATCTACCACTATAAGAAATACGGAAACAAATTACAAGTAGTTGAAATGAAACTAGTTCAACAAGTCTGAACAGAGATGCCTCAGCCTATAGAACAGCTTGAAGGAAACATAGTCCTAACAAGAAATAGGATTTATCTTTTTGTGTTTTGCATTGACTATTTGTTTAAGAAGGAGCTAGCTGCAAAGATTTGAATGACAAACATTTTAGGAACTTACTGTAATTAAGAGTTTAAGGAAGACTCTGACAAGGCATGCAAATATCTTATCAAAAACCACATAAAAGCTCTCAATAAAAACCATCAAACATTTTTAAAACTCAGATTCACACTATACCTGAGGAAATAATCTTTAAATTCTTATTAAACAGCAAGAGTCTTTGTGCATCATGGGGGCATGGGGAATTTATTAGTACTTTTAAAAGTATTACTTTTAAAAGTATCTTCTGAGTATGGATAAATGAACATCAAGCCAGATTTTCCCAAAATGAATTACTATAATAAACATGTGTAGAGAAACACTGATCAGAATTTAAGAAAACCAAATGAGAAAATACACTTTTAATTAGGAAGCTTCCAGGTATGTGTGCTCTTCACAAATACTAAAACCCAAGATGAGACAAGTCCTGCCAGTTGATGCCCTCATTTCGGTTCCTTTCTTTCTCCAGCAGCAATGGTGTTATTTGGGACTCTCCTCTCAGAGAACACTCCAAGCATCTACACACAGGCACACACACATCTCTAGAAAAGTGATCTCAAATTAAAATTATCTTAGGAAAGTATGATAGGCATTTTCTATGATGTGGTTTATCTTCATCTACTATTTTGAAGATCTTGCTATTTTGGAAGACTTACCTGTTCTGTTTAACAACTACTTGAACAGAACTAAACTAAAACAAAAATGATGTTTATCCTTAATATACTCTTATAGTCAAAGGGTACCACTTAAAAGGGAAAAAAACCTCTAAATGAAGATGTTTAGTAGTTAGGAAGGTGTATTTGAAATAATGTTAGTGGCACAGAACGTTAAATATAGGGACTCTCAAGTGTCAGAGTGACAAGATTTAAATCATCTTGGCAGAGTCTATAAAAAGGAAGACTAATGGTGATTTGTAACATATTTGTGCAATAAAAATGTGTTAAGGATTTATAAAATTCTTAGACTAGTACATGTTAAATGAGAAGAAATTTCTCAGAAGGTAATACAAATGACCATTAAAACATAAAAAAAGTTCATCATCTTTGACCTTTAGAGAAATGCAAATTAAAACACTAAGATTCCATCTTGCTAGAGAAAGAATGGTTATCATCAAGAAGTCAGATAATGAACTGGAAGGCTGAGGGGTCAAGGAATCCTTCTGCATTGTCAATGGGAATGTAAAGTAGTACATTCCTGTAGTAGTACATTATGGAATTAAGAATGAAGTTTTTTTTAAAAAAATTGAAATTAGAAATTCCATTTGACCTAGCTATTTGCTTCTAGTTATCTTCCTGAGTTGAAGATGTCATATAACAGTGACCATGTTTGTGGTGGCACATTTAGAATAGCTAAATCTTATAACAGCTTTATGTCCACCAACAGATAGCAAGGTAAAAAAGTGGGATATTTATGCACAATGGAATGCTATTCTGCCATGAAGAAATAGAACTGAGTAATTTGTAGGAAAATCAATGTACCTTTAGGCCGTGATGGTAAAGGAATCTGAAACACGACCTTTTTTTTTAAAAAAAAAATGTATTTAGTATAGGGTCTATGAAGTCTCACTACACAGATTGAACTCATAGTGATCCTCCTGTTTTCAGCCTACCAAGCGCTGGGATTACAGGCACATGCCACCACACTCAGTCTCAGTCACTGTCTCAGCACTCCCCCGGGGGTGGGGGCAGCATGGCTTGTGGTGCTGGGGTTCAAACTGTGGTCCCTATACTCTGCCTAAGCAGGTGCTTTAGTCCACTGAGCTAACTGGCCAGCCCCACAAACTTTTTTTGGGGGGTGAGTACATTTAATTTTTTTTAAAGAGTACAAAATAGCAGTAAGCATATATAGGTTAAAGCAGTTTCACTTATGTTATATGTTGCTCTTAGACTGCAGTGCATTGAAAATAGATGCATGTGGAGAAATGTGCTGTTCTGTAAAACTCAAATGTGGGAGCTTGGTCTATGTTTTTGCTTTTACCAAAGCAAAAACTTTGGTATGTTTGTTAATTCTAGCTTTTTGATTCAATATCCTGTAAGGTATAATACTTTAGGAGTTTGGTCATGTCAGTTGTATGGAATGCTGAGGCTTTGATTTAAATCTTGTATTGTAATTTCCATTTTTATATGTACTGTACTAAAGCTTGTTTAATAAATCTTTCTTTTGAAAACTAGAAAAAACCAACCAACCAACAAAATACAGAAGTACAAATGATACAGAATTTCACTAAACAAAAAAGCACAAGCTTAATTATTGCAGTTTCTCTTATGTGAAAAATCCAAAATATAAAGGACTAATAAAATAAAAGGTAGATAGATAATAGGAAATAGGGAGGTAGATCTTTCATGAAAGGGAAGAGAACCAAGATGTGCAGGAGTGGAAGGAGTGGAAGCCGATTAAAAAAAACAAAACGCCTGAGCAGTGTTATCACTGCACCAGCCACCCTGCGGAGCATACACCACTGCATACTAAGTACACAGTCATTTAAAAATAAAAATTAGAAAAGAATAGTGCATCATGTCATGAAGCAGTCCAGAAGTATTGGCTAATGACCAGCTGGATTTAGTAGGCTTTCATTTGTTTAAAAGAGGAAATTTATCCCTAAAGTCGTCTCTTACATTTCTGAGTCTTCGAGTATAGGAGGACAGATGATTAAGTGGCTGCACACTAGTGTAAAGTCTGGAATTGAGTAGCAGCTCTTGCAGGCTGTGGCCAGCAGTCTTTGCTCACCATTCTAATCTGCCTTTATTTGTACCACCTCAAACAATTATACTGCCTCAGCTAATTTCTCTGAGGCGCTGGGAATAAATATGTAAACTGTTATTGTTGTCAACAGTTACATTTTAATATTCATAAAATCAGTTATTCATTCAATTTAATCTACTTTAATATATCTCAATGATTTATATATCTAGCTGTAGTTATTTATGACTCAAGCTGAAATTTATTGTAAAAAAGATGTCAATGTGACTCAACCATGCTATGCTATTGCCTGAAATAATGTCACATGATGAAAAATATAGTATATAAACGTCGCTTAATGAAACAATAGCCATATATTTTCTTTAAGGGAAATATGATATTTCTCTGATTGAGTTTTTCTTTAACTGTTGTGCCATTTGCAGGAAAAAATTCTGAATTAACACAAATGACAAGTACCATCCTGTTGAAAATGAAAAGGTGAAAAACGTCAGTTAGCTTTGCAGTCAGTGTACACAGTAGCTCAGAACACGGTCACTGCTGCTTCAGAAGCTCACTGTTTTAATCATCACTACTCAGTAATTCATTAAACAGATTTTTTCCTGTTCCGATAATGTACTTAAAGATTAGCCCAGTTTTTACAAAGCAGAATCATCAAATCATCAAAATCATTTGCTTATCATACATTTTTTTCTTTTACTTGTACTTTCTTGATGGAAAACTTCAGATAAATCCGTATATTCTCTTGGATAAATTAACAAGGTTGGAGAAAGGCACACAGACAAACTAATCTGATTTTGATTCGTGACAGATAACCTATGTGGGCAGACACCACGGGTGTCGCTCTATACCCTCTAAGCCCTTCACTCTCCCACACCTCTCATCCCCTTCACTGCTTGCTCCATCCTCACATCTGATGCCCTGGCTTCCTATAGCAGCTCTGTGGCTGCCTTAATGAAGACCACGAATTGTGAGTTAAAATAAGAAAGGTATTATTTCACATTTTTGAAGATCAAAGTAAAAATTAGCAGGGCGTGCTCTCCCTCAGGGAGAGCCATTGTCTGCTGCTTCTATGTCTGGTGGCTCCAGAAATTCCTTGGGTTGTGTCTCCACTCTCAACATCTTCCCATTGCTATCATTTCTCTTAATTCAGTATTTTCTCCTTCTATCTCTTTTTAATTGTTTTGTGTTCAGAAATGTACAAAATTTACCATTTTAATCACTTAAAAATATAGTTTTCTAGTGTCAAGTGCATTCACGTTGTTTGGCAATTACTACAGCATATCTCTAGAGCTTTTTCATCTCAAACAGAAACTCTGTATTCACTAAATACTAACTCTTCATTCCTCCCTTTCCCCACTCCTTGGTAACCACTGTTTCACTTCCAAATAAAAATATTATATTGTAACTAATTCATTAAGTCAGTTAATTTTAATTAAATGATCCTTATAACTTGACCGCTCTAATGACTCTGTATGTGTGGCATCATATGATATTTTCCTTTCTGTAATTCCACTTACCATACAGTCTTTCTCACATTTCATAATTGGGTCACAGTGCAAAGGGTGAGTGATGACTCGGAGTCAGTGTCCAGTGTAAACTCAGGAGGGCCCAGAGGAGCTGCCCTAATCAAGACATCTCAGTGCCAGAGAGTTTCAGGAAAAGAAATGAAGCTTCTGTGCCTTTCTATTAATGGAACCAGGAAGCAAGGATAAAAGACAAAGGAAGGATGTTCTGTGCAGGAGCTCATGTAGGGAATAAAGGAAGCTTTAGGACTGTTTACTTGGAATTTGTGCCAATGCATTCCAGAAATTTTAGGCCACATGGCCCCCAAAATCCCTTTCTTCTGCACATCCACCTCACACAGACCTCTGGCCAGCACCCCCACAGATCCTCAAGGTCATCTGTATTGTACCACTTGTCAGCATTTTTGCTTCCTAAAGCTGAATAATATTCTAGTGTCTCTGATATGCATATCATAATACTTGTTTATTTGTTACTCTTGTAATGAACTCTTGTAACTTCCACCATTTTTTTGTGCATGTTTGTAGCAAAATAATGATGCTCATTTTGAGG